TTTAAGGAAATACTGCGTAAGAAGATGTCTTGAGTGGGTGTGGCCCTCTAATAATTGATATGCAACAGATACTGCTATATAGAACACAAACCAGTTGAGTGACTGAATGTGTGAAAAAGCAGAGACTTGAAGCACCGACATCCAGTTGTGGAGGGCAGGGTCTTGAAGTTCCTTTTGAGAGAAGCTTTCTAAAATTAGTGGGAGCAATTTTTGATAGAAATAAAGTGGTGGGTTGATTGGAGTGGGGACAGTCCTTCCATATCTCCATCTCCCTTCTATGTTGACAAAAGCCATGGAACATGGAATGATTGACCTAGATGGTGGAAAATGAACTTGATTTTCTGTTGTATTAGACCTATAAGATTCTGTATTTTTCTTCAGGACCTGTCTTGCTGTCGTGTGAACACATTGATAGTATCGCTGAATGTCACAATATTGATCGCTGTGACTACCTGTCTTGGAAACTGTGACTTGAAGTGTCAGAGGCTCTGTGAACTCTTCTGCCTGAACAAGCCCTGATGAAACCCAGTGATGCGAATGTCAGGGGAATCTAAGGCTCTGTGTTACATGCTGGGTTTATGGAGCAGTTCTTGACAGATGAATTGAAGGGGGCGGTACTAGCAGTTCTGGAGGCCTGGCACATTGGCTTATTGTTTACAGAAATACATTAAGAAGAAAAGATGAGTTGATAAGTTATTAATTTTTTCTCCCTCTCTCCCTTCCGCCTTTGTTCTTTCCAGCTTTCTTTTTTCATTTCCCGGATTTTTTTCCCTCTCTTTTAACTCTCATTAACTTATCAGTGAATGATGAATGGCCAATTTGTGAAATTTAGCCATTTCTCAAAGCTTCAGGATAATGTTCCAGTATAGTTAGCTACATTTAAAGATCTCCATTATATGTGAATACCTTTGAAAATATCAAATCATGTATGCCATTATAACCTTCATCAATGACCAGTCATGACTTCTTTGTTTAAAACACATTGTAGTAAAAATATAGGCTCATCTTCTGTGGAGGTGAGAGGATATCCTTTGTATAGTTTGACATTGAGAACTTTGCATGATACCACACAGCTAGGATTTTTGAAATATTTTCGACAGATTCCCTTACTGCCACCCAGAAGTGGTACTGACCTAGAGCCGGGGTCCCACTGAAGTCATGTGAGTTCTGTGTTTGCCAGAGCTGCAAGACTCAACTAGAACGAGACTGGATGGTGAGACTTAGAAAAGCCAACTAATGTGCACAAGCAGCTCTCCTTTACTAGCCAGTCCGTGGTAGAGCCTGCAGGGCCCCCACGCCTAAGGAGCACCTCTGCTGCAGAGCCCACCTGGCTTTCAGTTACTGGTTTCTAAGTGCAGTCATCTATGTTTAAGTGACAGAGGCATCAGTGCTTCCTCCAAACCTTGATGTAAAAAATTTTTTCACAGATAACCGCAGACATGTCTAACTCCACACATGTGGCATTCTAATCTGGTGAACACAGCAAGGAGTAAGGGACAATTCATTTCTGAGTGGCAGTTTGACATATCAAAGCTGTCTTTTTTTTTTTTTTTTGAGACAGAGTCTTGCTCTGTCGCCAGGCACCAGGCTGGAGTGCAGTGGGGCAATCTCGGCTCACTGCAATCTCCGCCTCCTGGGTTCAAGCAATTCTCCTGCCTCAGCCTCCCGAGTAGCTGGGACTACAGGCGCATGCCACCACACCCAGCTAATTTTTGTATTTTTTAGTAGAGATGGGGTTTCACCATGTTGGCCAGGATGGTCTCGATCATTTGACCTCATGATCCGCCGGCCTCAGCCTCCCAAAGTGCTGGGATTACACAAAGCTGTCTTTTAAAGAAAACTTCACCCAGCTCATATGATCTGACCTGTAATGTGGAGCTCTTTCTCTTTCTTTTTGCTTTTTTTCCCCCTCCTCTCAAGGACTGATGTAAGTGTGCAAGTATTTTGATCATGTTCTCCCCGCCAACCTCCACCCCTAGCTTCCACGGCTTTGTTTCAGGCCCTGGGGGAGGAGCAGTTGTGAATGCAGTGTGACTCACTTGACTCCCACGCTGCTGATTCTGGTTCTGATTGGTTGTCACCTTGCTCTAGCCATATGGCTGAAGAGTAGTACTCTAGCCTGCATCCCTTGCTCCTGCTTTCCCCTACTGTTCCCTTTGGTTGTACACAACATTAGGAGCGGGTTCTGGGCTTTGTTTCTTGCTTCTAGTTTACTTTATTTAGGCAGTGAGTAGGAGAGCACACTGTATTTCCTAAGGATGGCTGTTGAGGAGAAAAAACACCCTTTCCTTTTGTGACTGGTATAGTAATTAGTTTCCTGTGCTGTTTTTGTTCAAAGTTTGTTTTTTGGCAGGTGTCAGGTTTATGTTGTATTATTTTGTCCCGATTTTTCTCCTTCCTCTGTTTTGATCTGTTTTGGGTTTTTTGTTGTTGTTGTTTTATAAGAGCTCTTAAGGTTTCTTTCTCTGGCTGCTGATGCTGCACGTTAGCTAGTTCATTAATATGCTTGATGTCTGCTAGGGAGGAGGACTGAAAGCAACTCTAAATAATTATTTAATTTTTAAATGTCTAAATGTTCTGGCAGTCACCAAGCAATAAAATCTACATGAGATTCTCAACATTATCTGCAGCACCGCTGCTATTACTTTGCCTTCTCCTAAACTACAGCAGTTCAATTATTCTGCCTTTTATATTTGAGAAATAGAATTTTGAAGACTCGAAAGTTAATTTTTATAAGCATTTGATATTTTATTAATTTGCATTTTTATTATTTTGCAGATGGTTTCTGCAAAGACTTCAAACTCTGCATCATTTAAAAAAAAATATTTACTCAGGCAGTGCTAGCAGAGTATAATGTATAACAGAATTTTTCCCCCAAAAAATTGGCCTTTACATAATATTTTAGTTGTCTGAAAAGAATCAATAATAAAATTTTTTTTTAAAAACCTCTCGCCCAGGCATAGTGGCTTACATCTATAATTCCAGCAGTTTGGGAGGCTGGGGTGGGCAGGAGTTTGAGACCAGCCTAGGCAACATGACGAAACCCCATCTCCACAAAAAATTAGCTGGGCGTGGTGGCACGCACTTGTAGTCCCAGCTACTTGGTAGGTTGAAGTGGGAGGATCACTTGAGCCTGGGACACGGATGTGGCAGTGAGCCAAGATCATGCTGCTCCACTTCAGCCTGGGTGACAGAGCCAGACCCTGTTTCAAAAAAACATAATAAAAATAGAAAAACCCAAAAATAAACAAACAAAAACAACTCTCAAGAAAACATTTTTTTTTTACTTAAAGGTTTTAGAAATTTATTATGTAAATATTTTAATGTTCAAATATGTTAAATGAGTAATCCACAGATTTAGATTCTTTAGAGAATGTGGGAGGAGAAGTTGTTTAGAACCATAGACAGGCATTTGAATATTAACCTGGCTCTGACGGTTTCACCTAATTATTTAAAGCTCTTTGTTCATTTGTTTTTCTTCATTCATAATCTATGTTAGAGAGAGCCAAGATCGTGCCACTGCAGTCCAGCCTGGGTGACAGAGCAAGACTCTGTCTCAAAAAAAAAAAAAAGAAAAAAGAAAATCACAGTCTATTTTTATCAGGAATAGCACACCTCTGCTAATGAACTAACTGGAAAGCGTATGAAATAGGAGAGGAATGCTGCTTATACCTTCTTCCTGCCATTAGGGCAGGAGAGTCATAGCCCAAATATGGCCCCAAATAGTTATTATATACTTTATGAGCCATTTGCTGGTCTTTGGCCCCACTACTTTATACATCATGTAAAGAGAACAAGGACATTTACTCAGCAATATAGTTCTAAGTGCAGACCATAGCTGTGAACAAAATAAGCGCCTGCCCTCATGGGGTTTACATTCTGTTGAAATGTATTATAGTAATGAAGTTGTCCGGAAAGTGTTTCTCTTGGATTTGAGCAAGGCCTAGAAAATGTGAAGAACTTTGACTTAAATTTTCACTCCATGCAGTTAAATCCCTACTCTGCCTAAACAAATGTGTGTACTTCCACAGATCCTGTCCCAGCACAGAAGTCCTGCTCATGAATTGCACATTTCAGTAACTTAGAATGTCTGTTATTTATATGACATATTACTGGGATCAAGGTTTCTTTGTTTACACGTTTAATGTTTTCAACTGGGACAGATATATGATGTTTACTTAATAAAAGTTACTATGGATAGTTTCTGTGTTATCATATGTAGAAAATACTAAGCTGGGCACAGTGGTGTGCGCTTGTAGTCCCAGCTGCTTGGGAGGCTGAAGTGAGAAGATTGCTTGATCCCAGGAGTTGCGGGGACTGGGGAAGGAGCAGTAGTGCACTATGCACTGCAAGGCTGTAGTGCATTATGACTATACCTATGAATAGCTACTGTACTCCAACCTAGGCAATATAGAGAGAACCTATCTCTAAAAATAAAACTAATAATAATGATCAACAATATGTCAATCACAGTTCTGAGTACTTTCCATAAAACAAGTCATTTGGTGCACATAAGAACCCCAAAGGTACTGTTAACCACCTCATTTTAAAGAACAAGACAGTGAGACCCAGGTAGGTTCATAAACTTACCTAACATCTTATAACTGTGAGTAGCAAAACTGAAATTGGAGTTGAAGTAGGATGACTCCAGAGCCCTGCTTTTTACTGCTACATTCTATACTGCCATCAGCATGCTGAGTTAATAACGGTCAGGAAATAGGAGCTCTGCTTTGTGATCTTGTTCAGGTTTTTTATTTGTGTGCCTCAGTTACCCTTTATATATAAAACATTTCTTATACCATCAGTTTCATATTAGCAATAATGTATATTAATTGCTTTAAGCTCTTCATGTAGAATCTGTGTAAATTTAGATGTAATAAGTCTTAGATGAAGCTAGTTATAGGAAAGATGTCAGAGACATATAATTGCTGCATATTTTCTATGTAGCTGATAGAGCAGTATTCTAATATATTTTATTTCTTTTTGTCTTCATTTGGTAGAAAAGAGTAGTTGAACAGCTACGGAAGAACCTGATAGTAAAGCAAGAACAACCGGACAAGTTCCAAATACAGCCATTGCCACAATCTGAAAACAAACTACAAACAGCACAGCAGCAACCACTACAGCAACTACAACAGCAGCAGCAGTACCACCACCACCACCCCCAGCAGTCAGCTGCAGCCTCTCCCAACCTGACTGCTTCACAGGTAAACGTGTGGATGGAATGTTGCAGGCTGCAGGTTGTAGACTGAGTTGTTATTGGTCTTGTAGAACCGAGTCCTATCTCAGACTATACTAAGCTCAACTAAAACTAAACAAAAGCTATTTTCGTTGCTTTTTTGTAGTATAACCCAGATAAGTATCACTTGAAATCATTGGCAGAAGGAAATAACATTACTAAGAAGCAAAAGTTAATGATCTCCCACCTGTCCGAAGAAGGGGAGCAAGGTAGTCAATAACAAAGAAAAATCACTTCTCTGCATTACAGCAGAATTAAAATCTTATTTTGAATTTTTGGAGGTATTTGTTTACACTTGTTCTAAAAGTTTGTGATTTGACTCTTCTGGAATTCCTTTTCTGGAATTCTTAGCAAGTAGGCATAGAGCTATTCCAGGATCAGTGCGGGACCAGATAGAAAGAAGCATTCAGAAAGCTGTTATGGCTAGGCGCAGTGGCTCAGATCTGTAATCCCAACACTTTGGGAGGCCGAGGCAGGCAGATCACTTGAGGTCAGGAGTTTGAGACCAGCCTGGCCAACATGGCAAAATCTCATCTCTACTAAAAATACAAAAATACTAGGCAGGCATGGTGGCATGCACCTATAATCCCAGCTACTTGGCAGGCTGAGGCAGGAGAATCACTTGAACCCAGGAGACAGAGGCTGCAGTGGCAGAGATCACACCATTGCACTCCAATCTAGACAACAGAGCGAAATCAGTCTCCAAAAAAAAAAAAAAAAAAAAAAAAAATAAAATAAAAAAAAAAAAAAAAAAAAAAAAAAGAGTGCTATATTTGCACTATTCATAGAAACATTCATTTTTAAGCCGTTATTCATGAGAAAATGAATTTGTTCTAATACATTGATGGGAATCTGAAATGAAAGCTACAGGTCAAAACTAAAGAAGTGGGAGCTTAATAAAATTCTAACTTAGTGTAGTTGTGCAAATGTTTTTACTGAAAAGGGCATTTAAGCATATAATGTAAGAATAGTGAGGCAATCAAGACACACAAAAAGGACATATTTGGAAATGATATTCCAAATGATGCTTGAATCCTTGAAGGTCGCAGATCCCTTCATGACTCTGTTGAAAGCTCTAGATCCCTCTCCAGAAGAATATACATTCACACTTACTACACTCATTTTTGTACACTTCAAGGATTTTGGGATCCTCTGAAACCTAAGCATGGCTACCTCTTCAAACCAACACCAGGTCTCTGCTGTGTTTTTATATGTAGAGAAAAAAAGTATAGTTCACTTGGCCGTTCACTGTTTATGGACATTGAATTGGTTCATGTGCAACATTTTGCAAATAAAGAATGAACTTTTTGTGAGAACACTAAAGATAAGTTAACATTTAAGAGAGGTTATTGTAGCCGGGTGCGGTGGCTCACGCCTGTAATCCCAGCACTTTGGGAGGCTGAGGCAGGTGGATCACAAGGTCAAGAGATTGAGACCATCCTGGTCAACATGGTGAAACCCTGTCTCTACTAAAAATACAAAAATTAGCTGGGTGTGGTGGCGCACGCCTGTAGTCCCAGCTACTTGGGAGTCTGAGGCAGGAGAATCGCTTGAACCCAGGAGGTGGAGGTTGCGGTGAGCCGAGATCACGCCATTGCACTCCAGCCTGGGTAACAAGAGTGAAACTCCATCTCAAAAAAAAAAAAAAGAGAGGTTACTGTATACTGGCAGTCTCCTAAGTGCTTACATATATAATAGACATATTCCTTACCCTAATCCTAAGAGGAAGGTATTATTATTACTATCTCTGCTTTTTTTTTTTTTTTTAAAGACTGAGCCTCACTCTGTCACCCAGGCTGGAGTGCAGTGGCATAATCTTGGCTTGGCTCACTGCAATCTCTGCCTCCCAGGTTCAAGCGATTCTTCTTCCTCATTCTCCTGAGTAGCTGGGACTGCAGGCACACACCACCATGCCTGGCTAAGTTTTGTATTTTTAGTAGAGACAGTGTTTCACCATATTGGCCAGGCTGGTCTCAAACTCCTGACCTTTTGATCCACCAGCCTTCTCCTCCCAAAGTGCTGGGATTGCAGGTGTGAGCCACTGCACCTGGCTCACCATCCCTGTTTTTTAGAAGGGAAAACTAAGGCACAGAGAGTTTACATAATTTACCTCAGACCATGGAGGGTGGTATGTGGTGGAGCTAAGATTTGAACCTAGAGGTTTTGGCTGAAAGATATGTCCCTTCAACTACTCTTCTATGCTGCCATTCAATCCAAAAAAAAAGCAATGCCAATACTGCATAAAACCAAAGAAGGAAAAAGAAAAATCCCTGTTATAAATCAGATCACTAGGACAACCTACATAATTTTTACCTTAATCACCACCCCAAGGCTATTTGGAAATTAGGCATTCAAAACTGACTTTAAAAATCCCCTTACCGGCACTTGTATTCGTTCTGAAAGAATGCTTAGAGGATAATTTTTGTTTAAGTTTTAATCAGAATTGGGTTAGGTTGTTCTCTTTCCAAAGTACAGTTTGATCAGAAAATGTTCACCTGGAAGGAGTGTGGTAGAATTCATTGTTTCCTGTTACACAGGAGTTTTCTGTCTTAACTCATGGAAACATTCTGTATAAGTAACATTTTATGTTATCAAAATCAAAGGAGACTGGGCACAGTGGCTCACACCTGTAATCGCAACACTGTGGGAGGACAAGGCTGGTAATCACGAGGTCAGGAGTTTGAGACCAGTCTGGCCAGCATGGCAAAACTCCATCTCTACTAAAAATACAAAAATTATCCAGGCGTGGTAACCTACATGTGTAATCCCAGCTCCACAGGAGGCTGAGGCATGAGAATCACTTGAACTTGGGTGACAGAAGTTGCTGTGAGTCAAGATCATGTCACTGCACTCCACGCTGGGCGACAGAGTGAGACTCCATCTCAAAAAAAAAAAAAAAAAAAAAATCAAAGGAAGCAGGTCCAAAGTACTTGTAATAGCTTTTCCTTTCCCTGGTAGTCTGTGTTGCTTTGGGATGGTGGCTGGTGAGAGGTCTAGGGTTACCTCCAAAACAGTGTTGTGTAGCATCTAAGGGCGTCTCTCCATCCAGTAGCCTACCTGATATATTTAATTGATTTTGCCAGCCTTTTTAAAATATGGTTTTATTTAATGCAGATGTTTAATGTTAAAAACCAAAAGGATCCTCTAAGCTTTTGGGTTTTGAGTTTACAGTAAATTACCAATATGATTTTTTTTTTTTTTTTTTTTTTTTTTTTGGAGACAGGATCTGGCTCTTTCTTCTAGGCTGGAGTGTAGTGGCACAATCTCAGTTCACTGAAACCCCTGCCTTGAGCCATCTTCCCACCTCTGCCTCCCAGATAGCTGGGACTACAGGCTCAGACCACCATGCCCAGCTAATTTTTGTATTTTTTGTAGAAACAGGGTTTCATCATGTTTCCCCATCTCAAACTCCTGAGTTCAATTGATTCACCTACCTTGGTCTCCCACAGTGTTGGGATTAAAGGTATGAGCCACTGTGCTTGGCAGTACCAATCTATTTACTGAACATACTCTATGTGCTCGATTCTGATATACAAAGAGCACTGGTCCCTGCCAAAAATCTGGTATTTTGTAATTAGTAATTTTTATTTGTTCTATAAATATTTATGAAGTTCCTACTGTGTGCAAGCACTGTTTTAGGTAATGTGGAGGCTAAATGCACAAATTAGAGAGTTTGTTTTCAAGAATTAAAAAAATTTGAGATGTAGATGAAGTTTGAGGACACAGTAATTTTGACTAGAGGGATCAGAAAGTACTTTTCAAGGATGGTTGCATCCGAGCAGGGCCCTAACAGATGAATGGAATTTTAGTGATAGAGCAAAGGGGAAAGAGTTTCACAGGTGTGGAGAACACTATGAACAAAAGGATGGAGTCAAAAAGGTAAATACATGCCCTGGGAATCGCAAGTAGGCTGGTGTGGTTGGAATGTGGGATCCATGAAACGATGGAGAGGAGATAAGGCCAACCCTCCAAAGCATGCCACAACTTCTGGGTTTCTTAACAGTCATAGGGAATTGAGGGCAAGGACAAATAGGAGGTTACATATGGCATATATTAAATACACAGTTTCAGAAAGAATTAAGTATTAAGTAGCAATCAGTAAGTTTTTTATTCTAAGTTGGGTGATTGGCATATACCAAGGCATAGAGGAAGCAATGAGGAATTCTTTTTGGAAGGAGGAATGGGGACAGTGCTTTACTTAGTTAACAGCAACTCATACTTGTATGTATATTTTTGAAAGTTTTCCAATCTACAGAAAAAGTGAAAGAATAGAACAACTAAATACAGGTATACTCTCCAACCTATATTCACAGCCCTCTCATTTTTAATGGCATAATGCAAATGTAAAGAGAGCAGTTAATAAAACCAAATAGAAAAGAAACCTTTGTAAACAAAAAAGGGAGAGGGGTTCTTTTTGTGGTTGTTTGAATATACAACAGTGACTGCATACAAAATTAAACAAGCAAAATAATCTAAAATGGATGTGGAAGTTAGTTAGATTCCAGTGTAATAATCCCTTAAATTCTGATATGGATTTCATCTGTTTTGCACTATGTCTTTTCTTTGAGACAGAGTCTCACTGTATTACCTAGGCTGGAGTGCAATGGTGCAATTACAGCTCACCTCAGCCTTGACATCCCAGGCTTGGGTGATCCTCCCACCTCAGCCTCTCAAGTAGCTAGGACTATGGGTGTGTGTCACCATGTCCAGCTAATTTTTATATTCTTTGTAGGGGTGGGGTTTCACTGTATTGCCAACTGGTCTCAAACTCCTAGGCTTAAGTGATCCACCCACCTTGGCCTCCCAAAGTGCTGGGATTATAGGCATGACCTACTGTGTCAAGCCTGAGTCCTTCTGTTCTAAATCAATACTTCGTACTTGGCAGGTAAACAATAAGAGCAAATAAATAAGTAAAAAGGATTTTGCTGTTAGCACTGTTTGCTATGCCATGCATTTCTGCATTAACTTCTAGCTCATGCAATTTGGGTTTTGTCAAAGTAAAGAACCCCTTCATGAAACTGTGGAGAAACAGCTACCTTCTCCACAAGGTAATCATACTTAACCACTGTTAACTAGCTAAAAACAAATCACAACTTTCATAAAAATAAATCTCTTGGCTGGATGTGGTGGCTTATGTGTGTAATCCCAACACTTTGGGAGGCCAAGGTGGGAGAATTACCTGAGGCCAGGAATTCTAGACCAGCCTGAGCAACATAGTGAGACCATGTCTCTACTAAAAATAAAAAAAAATTACAGGTGTGGTAGCGCCCACCTGTAGTCCCGGCTACTCAGGAGACTGAGGTGGGAGGATTACTTGAGCCCAGGAGGTCAAGACTGCAGTGAGCCGTGATTGCGTCACTGCTCTCTAGCCTGGGTGACAGAGCAAGACCTGTCTCAAAAATAAATAAATAATAATAATAATTTGTTGTTGGACACCTTTTTTCTCTATGTCACTTCTTTCTCCTTTTAGAACAGTTCAGACATTTTCATTAGACTTATTTCAAAGTTCTAAATTCCCTTTGTCATCTGAACTATAACACCCCAGAAGTTTGGTTTGTGTTCCCTAATATCAGGAAAAGAAAGGCCGGGCGCGGTGGCTCAAGCCTGTAATCCCAGCACTGTGGGAGGCCAAGGCGGGTGGATCACGAGGTCAAAAGATCGAGACCATCCTGGTCAACATGGTGAAACCCCGTCTCTACTAAAAATACAAAAAATTAGCTGGGCATGGTGGCGCGTGCCTGTAATCCCAGCGACTCAGGAG